GCCAATGTGTAAAAAATCTAATAGTTCATAGGGTTTCGTTCTCAGATCAAGTTCACAATTTAAAAATTTAAAAGTATTTAGAATGCTCCATTTCTCATTGGTGCGTAGTGTACTTGTGTATTGCTCGCAAGTGTGGAATCCACGATATAACGTTATAGGGTATTCTGGAATCTATCTACTATGGAATATACTATACTCTACTATGGAATCAGCTTAGGTTTCTGAAGCATCTGCAATACAAGTCTAAAAAATACGACCTAACTTACGAAGCGCGTTGTCGAAGATATTATATCTGCCTACCATTTGTGTGAAAGAAGGAGGATTTCAGATGTCACTTGTCTTGTTAAAATTTCTCAGAAAGTTATCGATTCACTTACTCTTTTGTCTAAAATCAATCTTAAAGTACCAAACAGGATGAATAGACGTCATGCATATCTGGATGCTTCTCAATGTTCACCAAACTATAGGCTCAATCAACTCAATCTTTCTCAGAGCTGTGAGAGACATTAATGGGCTGGCTAGCTTCCAATGATTAGATTTATTTAACTCTAAATCGTACCAATTTAACAGGATATTAAGAGATATTGATGTTAACAGATTGGTTCTCGGACTAATATGAGTAAACTGTTTAACTTTAACTTGCTTATTTTGTTACCATTTCGGTTTGTGTCTCCTTACTTTCTCCTTTCATTTATCTTTTACATTTACTTTTATTATAATTCCAAGGTTCTTTAAACTATTAGTACATTGTCAAAACATTACAAGCGTTTTATATGACGACCGAATGGCGTAGTGGTTTGTGTAACGGACTGCTATTCCAAAGGTCGCGGGTTCGATTCCCGCTTAAGTCAAGCATTTGTGTGCATGAACATTTAATGTTTGATTTGGTCTGGGTGTTTCTATGTATAATATGTATGTATTTACAAAAAAAAAAAAGTATATATGTATTTATATCAGTTGTCTAGTACCCATAGTACAAGCTCTGCTTAGTTTGGGACTAGATGGCGTTGTGTGAATGTGATAGAATATTATTATTATTATTATTATATGTATAACTGAAAAAACATGATAATTCCCAGCTTTCGCGGGTAGCCGTTTCCATTGGCAAAAAGGATGCAAGCTTTGTTTAGTTTTTCTTCGAGGTGCCTATTCCAAGGCAGTTTACTATTAATCCTAAATATTTGACCTCTTTGGTAAGTGCAATTTTAAAACTATTCTTCCTCATAACTGTGAAGAACCTTCGGTACTGGAACACCGTGTTCTGAACCAAATTGTGGCACTCTGTGTTTGTCTGTTGCTTAAAATGACTACGGCGAGATCAAACTCTCTTCGCTGTCTCAACTACTACAAAGACGGTGAATCATATAACAAATTATTCTTTCTTCCGCACATGTCTTCCGCTTAAATTAAAAGGTTATGCAGAGAAATAAGAAGCTGTCCAAATGTTGTGCCCTTCGTGATCAAAATATTAATCATGGGTGAAGACGCTCTCTCTGATAAGAAAAAGGATCGTGGTCAATCACGTTGCCCAGAGTGCATGGAGGAGAGGTTTCTTATGTACTCACGCCTATAGTCGATTCAAATGTGAAACTTTTAGGTACTTTTGTGGCTTCTGTGGTAGTCGGAAAAATAATTGTTCAACTTTTTAGCCTGTTTGAATATCTTGTAATAAGGAGGTTTTTAAAATTCATAATCAAATGACAAAGACTTAAGTCAGCGGATATGCAAACGTATACAACCACATGAGTAGATTATTGGAAGTGGATTTTATTTTTCCCACTAAATACTAACTAGGAACCAGACCTGTTGAAGTTATAGGATCTTTTATAATAGAAAATACACATGGAACTTTTCAATAATCTAATAATGTCAAAGTATTTTTACAAAGTGTCAGAAACAAAAAAACCTAGTAACCTGACAATAGAAGAATAGGCCACACTCTCAAAGAGGAACTTTACGAAGAACGGTACCATTTCCCAAGTTTCGTTTTCTTTCAACGACTTCATTTCATCATCCATAGCTATTTTCCACTTTTCCTTATCTTTGGATTTCATAGCTTCTCTGAATGATTGAGGTTCTTTTACATCACTCAACTCTGCAACTGTCATCATCACAAAATCATCAAATTTTTGAGGTGCTCTCAACGTTAAACGATCTCTTAGTCTCATACCTTGCTCTTCCTCTGGTTCTGCATTTGGATCCTTCTCTATTTCTGGTTCTACCTTTTGCTGCAACTCTGGTAAGACTTCTTCATTTTCAACCTCACTTTCTATATATTCAGAGCCACAATCTTCGAATCTTTCATCATCACTGGGCTCTTCTCCATCATTAACTCGATCAGCTGTATCTGGTTTTACAAGTTTAACTATCGCTTCTGGGATTTCTATTTTACCGATTGGACCTTTCTGGACAATTTGGTTCTTGAATACTCTCCTTCGTCTCATCCTTAGACTTCAAAGGCTTTTCTTCAAACGTCACATCTCTGGATCGAACTATTTTGTTCTTATCTTTAACCCAAATTCTATAACCCTCGTCATTATCGTAACCGACCAGCACACCTTTTATAGCTTTCTTGTCCAGCTTCTTTCTCGTTATTTTAGGAACGTGTGCATAGCAAATACTACCAATTACTCTCAAATGCTTAATCCTGGGCTTCTTGTTGTACCAGATCTCGTACGGTGACTTGTCTAGTGGAGTAGGGCCCGTTCTATTCAGTATGTACACTGCGGTATCCACTAACTCAGCCCATAGACTTTCAGGTAAGTCATTTGCATGCATCATCGTTCTCATTGCTTCCACAGCGGTTCTATTATCTCTTTCTACGCATCCGTTTTGGTTTGGCGTGTGTGGCATTGTCAATCTTTGCTTTATGCCATACGACTCCAATACTCTTCTCACATTTCCGTTATCAAATTCTCCTCCATTATCACTAAATAGCTCTCTTACTGTATGTCCTGCAGTCTTTGCTTCAGCTAACATCACTTCAAGCTTCTTATGAACTTCTGATTTCTCTCTTAGAAAGTAGATATAGCGGAATTTGCTGAAATCATCTTTGAAGAGTACAAAATACTTGTATTTGGAAAAAGAGTTGGTGAACGGCCCGCATACATCTACATGTATTAGCTCTCCTGGTTCAGAAGCTCTTTCTCTTGTTCCAAATTTCAACTTATGTGCCTTACCATATACACAACCCTCACATAGTTCTTTGTCTAGCTTCATCTTAATGCCAAGTTCTCCCTCAATCACCTTCTTCACATGTGATTTGCTCTGATGAGCCAACCTCTCGTGGTAAAGCTGCAACTGATCCTCTTTTGAAATGTTGTTGACTTCATTTGGACACTCAGATCTGATATTTCTGACTTTCAGCTTAAAAAGACCTCCATCTTTTTCTCTTTCTCCAATGAGTAACACTTTTCCATGCTGTAACAGTTTGCATTCTTCGGTTGTAGACATGAAAAGGCTGTTTGACATCTTATCTTGAGCTGACAGTACTGAAAATAGGTTTTTCTGTATTGTAGGCACATACCATACATCATAAAGTGCTATCTGTTCATTACGACCCTTTACATCAGCTTCTATGTATACAATTCCTTTCCCAACTGCCTTGATTGTATCTCCATTAGCTGTCGTAACGGTGTGTGAAGTGTGAAACCTCTCAAATGTCTGGAATAGATCCTCCCTGTTCGTGACGTGGCTTGTAGCTCCGTTGTCCACATACCAGTGATCTTTATCAGCAGAATCATTTGGATTCACTGCCATAATATGCATATTCACACTCATAGTAGGTCCTTTTGACTTAGATGTTAATGGTTTTTGCTTAGGTGGTCGTCCATCGGATATCCATTTAGAGCATCCTCTTATTCTGTGACCGACCATGCCACAATAGTGACATTTGTCTGTGCTCGCTTCCACCTTACTCTTCTCATAGTTCTTACTCACTTTACTCTTCTTATTTGTCGTAACTTTGCTGTCTCTCACTACTAGTGCTTCTATCTTCTCTTCATACTTACTCGATAAAGCTCTTTCGTGGTTACTTAACTGAGTTGTTAGATTTTCTACAGTCCTGTCTTCTTTTGACATCATCATCCAGCTTGACTTAAACGAGAAGTACTCTTCAGGTAAAGTATCCAGTATCTTACAAATTAGGAATAGTTCTGGCAGCTCTTCTTTCAGGTGTTCCTTCTGGAGTTCCCTGGTAAGTTCTGACCAGATATTTTTCAATTTGCTGACATGTGCTGACACGTCACCACCAGATTGCATCTTATAACTAAAGAACTTCATGCATATGTCGTAGGCTTTGCTTTCTGATATACCATCATACAGGCGATGTAATTCCAGCCATACATCTCTTGCAGTTGAATACCTCATGACTTTTTCGCAGTTTTCTTGTGACAAATTCGTTGAGATGAGTAGCAAGGCTGCGCTATCCGCTGACACATACTTTTGCTCTTGTTCTTCATACTTTTTTACATCTGCAGCTGTTGCATCCACTTTTAGTTTCTCGGGCGGCACTAGCTTGCCCTCAACTACATCTTGGATCTTCAAACCTCGCAGCGCAATCATTATTTTGAATTTCCATGTTGCCCAGTTCGATTCATCAAGTGCTCCTACGTGAATCTTCGCTGCATCAACGATTGAATTTTGCATCTTGAGCTCTCGAACTATAAACACGTAATTTCTATCTGAATTTTATTTCCCGCAACCACGCTCTGCTACCATGTTGAAGTTATAGGATCTTTTATAATAGAAAATACACATGGAACTTTCAATAATCTAATAATGTCAAAGTATTTTTACAAAGTGTCAGAAACAAAAAAACCTAGTAACCTGACAATAGAAGAATAGGCCACACTCTCAAAGAGGAACTTTACAAAGAACCATAGAGTTTCTATTTCAACAAGACCAACCTATTGGGTCACAATGATGATGATCGATGTAACGTTGTATGTTTTTTAATGTCAATTAATAAATATTTTAAGCGTAATTTTTTTTATTAAACAATGTATTTACTAAGAGGTAAGTCCACAACATTTTAATATTTTAAACATGAAATATTAATCAATACTTTGTTTGCTTCTCAGGGAGTGGTCCACCCGTCGATTATATCCAAAAATCAATCGGTGATTATGGATTGTATCATTTGTTGCTCTGTTTTATAGTCTTTTTATCTAAATTTCCAATTGCTTGGCATCAAATGGCGATTATATTTCTTACACCGAAAGTATCATATACATGTGATGGAGAACTCAATAAATGCCCTTGTGCTAATCCAGAATTTGATAAATCAGTATTTCCTATGACCATAACCATGAAGTGGAACTTAATTTGCGAGAAAAAACATCTAGGCACTCTGGTACAGACATTGTTTCAACTCGGTACACTCATTGGTAGTATACTATTCGGCATGGCTTCCGACAGGTAATTTATGTGTTTAATATTTGTAGTAAGTAAATACTCTGTAGCCTTTGTACTTTAATTTATTTTGTAAAGAAAAAAATAGCATAAACGGTTGCTAGCGGGAGACCCCGCTAGCAACCGTATCCGTAACCGTAAAGCTTATATTATTTATAGCCACCGTACTGCAGTGCTATTTTCTAAGGAAACAGCCTTGAAATTCGACTCTGAGGCAGCGCTGTACGCAACAATCGGAGGGGACCTCTCGCTACATCGCTTGCACGCTGCACGAGCTCTTATAGAGTTGCAGGCGGTGGGCCGGAGTGAAATACTGCCTCGATCTGAACACGCAAATCTGTGTTTTTGGGTTAAAATGGACTTAATTTAATCGATGGGGTCGATTTGAAACCTTGGCAAAAGAAGTTTACGAGTTTGTTTCGACTCTTAAAGACGTGTGCCTGAGCATTATTGATTGGTTTAAAGGGCATCTTCCGTACTATCATCCGCGTGTGATTGATAGGGTTAGGATAGACGAGAAAACCGCCAGCTAGGTGACCCCCGGGTGCACAAACGCTACCTTCTAGGAGTTCGGTACGATGCCTTTAGAGTAAGAGAGTCGAAAAAGGCGCTTAACCGGTGCCAGCTCTGGAGCACATGTCTTCAACACGATAGCAGAGTTTCCATCGGGCCCACTCGACTTATGCATATCGAGGATGCTTTACGCACTGATTTTTGACTTAACTAAATTTCTGGTAAGGTCGGTGGTACGTTTCCCCCGTCATCCAAAGTCGAGTTGGATGCAAAGGGTTCGCCTAGGAGATCGACTTTCTTGAGACGCAGGGCCATGTCGTGCGGTGTTCCGCAGGGGTCTGTCCTAGGACCTCTCCTGTGGAACATCGGGTACGACTGGGCCCTACGAGGGCGTCTCCCCCCCGGGCTGGATGTAATCTGCTACGCGGATGACACTCTAGTCACGGCCCGGGGGGCTAACTTCCAGGAGGCGGCGCGCCTGGCCGCCACGGGAGTTTCCCAGGTGGTCGGGCGCATTGAGGCGTTGGGATTACGGGAGGCCCTATTATTTCATGTCCACCCGCCGGCGCCTCAATCGAGGTCGGCTCGGTCCTCGTACCGGTCCGGGCCCAGATGAGGTACCTGGGTCTGGTCCTAGACGGTAGGTGGCTCTTCGACGAGCACTTCCGACAGCTTGGTCCGAAGCTGGTGGACACTGCCTCCGCCCTAGGGCGACTTTTGCCCAATTTGGGCGGGGCCAGTGTTCCCATAAGGCGGCTGTACGCGGGGGTTGTCCGGTCCATGGCGCTGTATGGTGCACCGGTGTGGGTGGCGGCTCTGACCGCCCCGAATAGGGCGCGCCTCTGGCACCCTCAGAGGATATTGGCGGTCAGAGCCATACGCGGATACCGCACGGTGTCCACCGAGGCGGCTTGCGCCTTGGCCGGAACACCTCCGTGGGATTTGGAGGCGGAAGTGCTCGCCGAAGTTTATCGGCGAGTGGCTGACTTCCAGGCGGAGAGCGGATTTCGACCTCCGCCCGAAGACGTGCGCGAGTGGCGCGAAGCCGCTCGCCGAGCCACCATGGTCAGATGGTCGTTCCGGCTGGAGACTCCACGCGCTGGCTTCGCCGCCGTGGAGGCTCTCCAGACGGTCATCGCCGAGTGGGCAGGGCGGCAGCACGGGACCCTTTCCTTCCGGCTGACGCAGGTGCTTTCCGGGCACGGTTGCTTCGGAAAGTACCTGTACTCGGTCGCTAGAATCGAGTCCCGCCTGCCACCACTGCGACTGCAGTGAGGATTCGGCCCAGCATACGCTGGCGGTTTGCCCCGCATGGGCGACGCAGCGCCGGGCCCTCACTGCAGTCATAGGAGCAGATCTCTCGCTACCGGCCGTAATTCGCTCCATGGCCGGTAGCGACAGTTGTTTGACCGCGGTCGCAACCTTCTGCGAGGAGGTAATCTCGCAGAAGGAGGCGGCGGAGAAGGCCCGGGAGGACGACCTCCACTCGGACCTGATCCGCCTCCGGCGAACCGGGCGGCGGAGGCGCGCTTACCTGCGCCTCATGCCGCCCTGAGTGTGCCGCGGGTGGACGGGATGGGTTCTCCCCTCCACCCGCATTAGTTGGCCAGCCGCGAGGGGGCGGCGTCCGCGTGTGCCGGACGCCGCCTAAAGAGAGGAAACTTTGAGATGGAGCCCGCAACAGGAGCGGGCCGGCGCTGGGAGGGGTCCAGAAGGCGATAACTACCTGGACCCCTCCTAAACTGGAAGCGCAAAGAGGGCACACCGTGTGGTTTTAGTCGGTTCGAGTCCGACACACTGCCCCGCCGAACGAGAGCCCCGGCGGGGTGACGGTCCGAGGGGATTTCCACACGTTAAAAAAAAAAAAAAAGGGAGATCGACTTTCTGAATTATCTGCCATCTACAGGGATGGAAGGGATTGGTTAGAGATATTCCCCTGGACAGCCTTGTCAAGAGACCAGAATGCGAGAGTTCCAGAAGGAAGCCTCTCACCATTTCGGCTGATGTGCTCCGATTTCACCCTAGCAATCTTTTAGGTTTACGGTTAAAAACCACTTAGGCTCTCGGATCATTATCTAATCCTTAGTACAATGCCGCAAGTTGCAGCCTGCCGCAGCGTATACCACTGTCGGTCAGCGGACTGAGGTGGGATACGTTCTTTCTTTGCATTGACTGATTGATTCTGTCACTGATGTAGTGCTGCAGGGCATTGAACTATTCGTTTCATCTACATTAATTGCCATCGGTGGCAGATATAAGAAGCCAGGTGGCAGATACTGCAAACCGCGTTGTTTAAAATGTTACCAAGTATGGGCAAATGCAGTGACGGTCGGCGATGTAAATACACGCATAGCACGCTAAAAAAACAATATGCCTCTACCTCCAGGCCCCTCAAAAAAGCCATTCATAATCATCAACAGCCTTCAATAGTCCATTACTGGACATAGAAAGGAGGTTTTGACCTAATATGGTATAGGTGGCCTACTCTGGCCAGCGTAAACCCTATGGTTTGTGTCAAGTATTCCTTCTATTTGCAGCGCTGTTATCCTGCGTAGTTTGCTCCCTTAGACGGCTCTTACGACACCCACGGGATGAGTAGGGTGCAATGATGCATTCTTAATCCGTCACCACGCGGATAGAACGCGTAGAAACAAATATTACCCATTTATACCTAATTATTACATCGTGTTAATGATGATTAACAATGTAATGTAGTACCTAATGCCAATATGAATATAATCATGATCTGATGAGATCATGATTATATTCATTGTGGCACAATCGTTGACGACTATTACTATGACTGAAGTGGAAAAAATAGGGGATTATTATTTTCCTATTCTTAGAAGGCTAATAAAAAGTAGTATCCTATTGGACATCAAATGACAAATAAAAAGGTACAAAAATATTATTTTTTTGTAATAGGAATTACTCTAAGAACCTGTTGGAAACACCAATGTTTGGCGTGATAATTTGCGTTATGTTGGCAATTGTTGGCCAAACAATAAAATATTTATTTAAAAAGTAAACTAATCATTTTTATGTACTTTGAAATATAATCTGACTTGTATTTACCAAAATAAAAAAATACCTGCCGAAACCTTACTGTTACGGTGGTAGTTGGGTGATTAGGTGACGTTGGCCGATGCTGTCGGTAATAATACCGAAAAAATATAGTTTGTGCTTGTATTTCTGGGCCGTTTTTAGAGTCTTCATCTTTAATCTATATGTATTGTTGACCGAAGATTCTTGACCATACTTTCGCAAAATATAGCTCTAGAATTTATTTAATATGTAAAGCATTTTATAATTGGTATTTATGACAGTTTTATGTCAGTCAGTTATTTATAAACAGTACAGTACAGTAAATAATAAAAATCACTTTCCAGATGGGGAAGAAGACCTTCATTTATATTGGCAATTGCTATCCAAGTTATATCCGGCGTAGGAACTGCTTATATGGAGTCCTTTTTATTGTTTAATTTACTCAGACTTATAGTTGGTATATCAGTGGGAGGTACAATGGTTGTTGGATTTGTTTGTATTATGGAGTTTTGTGGTACGAAGTATCGACCACCCATTTCAGCTCTCTATCAAGTCCCATTTAATTTGGGCCATTTAACTCTATCTGGATTCGGATATTACTTCAGAAATTATGATGCTTTTCAAGTGGCAATATCCGCACCAGTGGCTGTCTTGCTATTGTATTATTGCATATTACCTGAAACACCAAGATGGTTAATGGCTATGAAAAAAACAGAAGAAGCCATTAAAGTGTGCGAACGCGTTGCTAAAGTGTAAGTATTAAAATAATTATTATATTATTTATCTGTTCTTATCCTATATATCTTTTGGAACTAGTTCCTAATTGATAATAATAATTTTTATCATAAACCATTTATATTGAAAAGAATGATTAAACCTATTTTAACTTTTATTTTATTTTTTAACTCCTTATTGAAAACGAGAGGTGTTATAAGTTTAACCTATGTATCTGTCTGTCTGTCTGTGGCATCATGGCTGTTGAACGGATGGGACAATTTCGATGCGGATTTTTTGTTCGAAAGCTGATAAAAGATGATCCAGGTGGTTCTTAGCTATACATTTTGAAGATCATCAGCTCACTTCCTAGGTGATGAAGGGATCCCACTAAAATCCACATGTCCGATTGATCTGAAATTTCGTATACTGTTACTTTTATGATATTTCCACGACATGGTGACCTGTAACTTGCTGCTGCATCAAGTAGTATGAGTGATAGCCAACTCCTCAGAAAATTACAGCATATACTCGTATACCATGTTTGGGCATGGAACAGTCTCAATTAGCAGTTGTTGTTTTTTAAAGTGTTTTTTGTGTCGAAGGTTTTTTTTATATTTATCAACGTTATGTATAGTAATATTGTCTAAATAATAAAATTACAATCTAAATCCATTTTTTAATTTTTAACGCCCACTTGGTCGTTACTAGTAAATGTACGATTTCAATCAATCAATCCCTTAGTTCCCAAAGTGGTCCAGGTGGACCCCAGAAGTCCACGGCAGGCGTGACAAAAAATTGAGGGTTCACAATTCGTAAGGAAGTTCAAAATTCGGGTCCACGAAAATTTATCTTCTTTCAAGATTGAAGAACTAAATTGTTGGCTTGACTTCACCTGTCAATGTAGGCAGATAATATTTTGAGAAGCTCCCTTTTTCGTCACTCGACTGTTACTTGTAAAAACTTGCTAATTCTATATTCAGTACAACGTGTCGAGACTTGCAAAGCACAATATTGCATGAACCTGTTTGATTCTTCACCAATTTAAATTCGAATGCCAAGGATAAACGTTACTCATTTGTTCCCGGAATTAAAAAAGAAAGTAAAGTGAATCGATTTTAGTGTTTGCCGGTGTCGGAAAAAGTAAGTATTTACCTGCCTATTTGTTATACATACTTTTACTTTATGTTGTAATAAGTATATTTGTAATCTTTGCTTGTGATAGGTATGTATTAAAAATTAAATACTGAACAGAGTCATTATTATATACTTCCATATATAAAAGAATAGAAAGACGAGAAAGGTTGAAGTTTTCGTCCTTACTTAATTAGTTTTTTTTATTATGATTATGATTTATTATGATTGACCTTTATGACTGTAAATATTTTAGGTTCTTAATGCTGAATGACTTAATTAAATATCTTTACGTACCCGTAACGTGCATCAAAGGACTAAATAAATAATTAAAATCGCGGAGTTTTGATATCAAAATATTTTTGAAAAATGTTTCATATTACTTTAATATCGGTTCAGCCGTATTCATACAACTCTATTATGGATTAAGATCCATAATAGAGTTTTTTGAAGCGATTTATTGCTTTTAATAGTTAGAATCAGTTTGCCATCGCTACTTTGTTTATTTCATTGCAATAACTAATTAAGTAATAATATTCTGTTAAAATGCCATATCTGGTTGTTTTTATGATTATCAAAACAAAGTTTATTTTTTATTTACAGGTAGGAAGGAAACTAAGAAGAAATGTCGACAGTATAGAATTGATTATTTAAAATTTGGTTTTCTTCCATCAAAGGCAGACAAGCGATTTGAGCAATGACTGAAACCATCGAATCTCGAAGATCATCTAAGAATATAAAATAGGTAAATATCCTGATAAAATAGGTAAAGATTTGAAATATTTTCTGGAATCTAGAACACCGCACACCATTGGAGAACAGTTAATTTTACCCGCTGCTGAAGAGGTTTTAAAAACTGTTGTGCACAAATCTCCATTTCACAAACTCAAAGGAATTCTTTTGAGTTGATTATTTAAAATTTGGTTTTCTTCCATCAAAGGTAGACAAGCGATTGCACTTATGCCTTTTATGCAACAAAGTTTTGAACAATGACTCTATGAAACCATCAAAGCTCGAAGATCATCTAAGAAGGTGTCATCCTGATAAAATAGGTAAAGATTTGATTTTTTTTCAAGTATTGAACGAAAAATATGAAAAGAGACCCACGGTGGGTCTCTTTTCATATTTTATGTTCAGTATGTTCGCTTGAACATCTGAAAGTAACGATGTTGGCTTGCGGCTAACTACAATATCTCATTACTTACAGCAAAATCTTGAAAACCGCACACCATTGGAGAACAGTTAATTTTACGCGCTGTTGAAGATGTTTTAAAAACTGTAATTTCAGCTTTTCTTGGTAAATTGAAATTTATGAAGCAAAATATTAGTCGGCACAAATTTCCCAGTTTTGAAACTTGTTACAGGTAGAATGCCTTGATGAGGATATTCAGACATACGTTCAACATTTAATTGAACTGCTTGATGACTTCAAAATCAGGCTTGCAGATATTCTGACGATAAAAATACCACCATGAATCATAAATCCATGTGATGAAAACCCTTGCCCGAAAAATATCCTGGACTGTGGGGAATTGCGAGAAAGCTTTTAATAGCTTTTCCCTCGTCATATCTTGTCGAAAAAAGTTTTAGTGTCGCTAAAAACCTTTTAACAAACGAAGAGCAGATTGAATATCAAGGAACGGGGAGATTTGCGGTCATTCCCAACAAAACTGAAGCCAAATATTGATAATTTGACGTCAATCCATCAAGTACATCCCTCATTAAAATTATGACTATTTTGTGATTGTCATTATAGAAGTTACGTTACGTTATTAATATTTAATTTTAATTATATTAAGACTGTAGTAGATAGTGTAATAAGCACATATTTGAATAAATACAACACAAAAAATATACTATTTTTTATTTATTTTTATCACTCCGAATGCGGAGTTTTCTAAACGAAATAAGTGAGAATTCATTGGTTCCTTGTGCTGTAAGTAGATGTCAGAAAAGTAAAGTTGGATGGAATCACTTTTTTGATTGGCCAACTTTACTTTTTTAACATCCACTCACAGCATAATCAATAAATTAATTAACCAATCAATACCCACTTTTTTTTTCGAAAACATATTAATTCGTGATTGGAACTCGCTACGCAACGCAAATTTTCATAGTTAGATCTAATCTTCACATTTTTTGCCGAGTCTTGGGATTATAGTAGAAATATAGCTGCAGGGGGTCCACCGGAACCTGCTAAATTTTGCAAATGGTCTATGAGAAAAAAGTCTGGGAACCTCTGAATCAATCTATTTACCTGTCTCACAAGTGTAAACCCAATTGGAAATAGAGTGTTTGTAAACAAAATGTCCTAGTTAGAAATAGAATATTGAAATACTGTGTTTTTTCTCATTATGTTTCCTTGTAATGGTTTGTTTTTGCTTGGACTTAATCTAACTCCCAAATACCATACCATGCAAAAATACCTTAAAACAAGAATTTCAAAAAATGATATTTTAACTATACCTAGAAAGCTTCAACTAAAAAGTCCTAATATCCTATTAGGCTGTTACCCACGCTGTTTCTTTACTCACGTTTCATAGTTGTGTGCTATCTTTTTACACCGGCCGCACCAATGTTTTTTGAGAAAACGTTATCGAAACCCGAATTAGTGTGCGTTGCCCCAGCGGAAAAAGTTACTCATCAGTGGTGATATCAAAAAGATTGCCATATTTGGAAAAATAAATAAATCATTGCCTTATAATCATTTTTTTACTGCCATTCCATCGCCACTGTAAAGACAGTGAGTTAGTGTAGACTACCGATATTTTTACCGATGCCAACGGCCACTCGATGGCATCTCAATTTGATAGCGTGTCAGTGGTATTACAGTGGCTTGGCATGAACATAAATGTGAACAAATATGTGAACATAAAATAGCAGAATTGAGGCCCAGTGGGGAGTTCTTCACGAAAAAAAGTGCCGCTGAGACAAAGTTGTCCAGCGGCACTTTTTTATCCTATGGACGTAGAAGAAAAAAATGGTATCATACATAAGTGTATGACGTGAGGTAATTATGAACTTTGTGCGTCAATAAAGGTTTTATTATGCATGTCCTTTAGAATCTCGTGCAGTAAGACTGCATATGAAACAGTGGTCCAGTCATAGTAAATTATCCCATAGCTCATTAATTACTTAGAGTACATCAATAATACTGGGCGTCTTGCTTGTCTTGCTTTTAGATGCTTACAAGGTATGTATAAACAGTTTTTCGAGAATAACTCCCCAATGCCTGGATGTACAAATTTTTACTTACCATACACAATAGGGATTATGCATATAATTTTAATTGGTCTTAATTACATTATACTTAAAATGTATTTTTTTATTTAGTTATTTTTTAACCCAGAAAACATTATTGAGAAAGTGAAAAATAAGGGAGGAAATTCAAACTTACAAAACGCGTCACCATTGGTCGAAACGAAATGTGATGTAAATGGTCACGTCCCGACATTTATCGGCGTTGATATTCATACTGTGTTAGTGTGTTAGTAGTATTTGTGAGAAAAATTGTTTTGTCAAAGCACAATCGGATAAACTACCGAAAATAGATGCATTTATGATGTCAGCATATTTTGCATCAAATCTCGATTTTACGAGCGCAGAGATCAAAGGAGTGAAAACTGCAAGGTAATTATCATGTTACATGATGTATTGTAGTCCATAACATAGATATTTATTTATAAAAATGTAAACTAAATTAAAAATTAATTATTATTAATTTTATTAATTAAATTTAAATTCATTTTTATTCGGACTTTGTCAATATCGAATTTTGTAATGCCAATATGCTAAAGGACTCATTTAATTTAATGTTTTTGTGGGTTATTAATATTTGTACTAAAAGTTTTATTAAATTATATGATTGTTTAGGTAATCCTAGCAACATTTTTGGCTCTTTTTCAATAGCACTTAGCATGCTATCGGGTGTACTGTACTGTAACACTTTATCGGGTGTACTGATAATAGTGTTTTTGCACTTCGGTACCATACAATACTTGTATGAAGGTTTTTTTAACTTCTTCCATGATTTGTATAGAAATTAAAACTGAAAATAAGTATGAAGTAACTGAAATGCTATAGTAAACAAACACGGGACACAACCAAAGAGGTCATCAAAAGCGCGCGCGAAATGGTGGCGTTTGAACGGCTCAATGTTCCATGTTATAAATTTCACTTTGAAAAATTATTTGACTATTTTCAAGACTAATTATATTTTTTCCATGTTATAAAGATGTAAATTATTAAATTAAGCAATGAAAAACATCTGTTAAGCTCAAATAATGAATTTCGAACTTCTGCCGCCGGGGCAACGCACACTGAAATAAGCTTCTATCTGAAATCAAAACTTACTTAAAGCAACTTTCAGATAAACTTCTTTTTAATCAATGCAATGCCAATTGTCGTATTACCTCGCTTTGAAAATATGGGGTAGAGATTTCGAGCATGATTTCTGTCGAGCAGATTTTCTTCCTCGCAGTCCGGATGGTTAAGCTACTATGACACCAGTTTTAGAATTCCGATGGCTTATCAAGCAACAGAGACTGTGTTTCCCTGCCACCCTGAGCTCGATGGCAGGAGGGAGGCACAGTCCTTTTTGCCGACTCGGTGCCGCCTGCTTGTTTGCTGACTTCGTACGTTGATTTTCATTGACGTATGCATGCTTTTAAGAAGACATCTAATTCATGGCTCTTTCTTGTAATGGTTCAAGATTTTTTACAACCACACATGTTGGAGAGGTAAAAAAAAGTCTTGACCCTGTGTCACATCCATGGCTCTTGCTTGTAAAAGCTACATGTTGACAGAACCGTTGTGTAGTTGAAAAGATCTAAACGGAAGGTTTAGGTTTAGAAGGATTGCTATTATAATGTCACCTCTTATATTGAGGGTCGCTTATTTTGTTTTGTTCAAGTAGATTTGTAATTCTTATTTTTATTTCTAGTGCTCTTTGTATTGCTTGAAACTCAACTTAAAAAAAAGGATTTATCTCTACATTGAAAAAACATATAGTCTACCTGTCTAAAGCGAGAAAAGCATCAAACGTGTATTAATAATTTATACAATCCAGTGCCGTGTAGGTTTGCAACATCCATATATTTAAAAAAGTTTGTTTGTTTTGTCTATAATACTTGTCATTTTGTTACAGGAACAAGCTGCCAACAAATACTATTAGAGGCGATTTAGTAGCTTGTGAAAAAGAATTAGAAAAGAAACATCTGAAAAAAGGAACAATTGTGGATCTTTTTAGGACTCCAAATCTAAGAAAAAATATTTTATGTATGGCTTTTAACTGGTTTACTTGCAGTTACTGTTTTTACGGCGTTTCTCAATATATAAGTTTTTTGACTGGTGATATTTTCGTTAATGTTGCCATAAGTGCAACTTTCGCTTTATTTGGAACATTTGCATCAGTACCTCTCATAAGCGTAATGAACCGTAGAACCATGCTTTTATTGTTCCAAGCTATCTGCGCTATTTGTTTATATGCGTTAGCGTTTTTACCTGAGGGTACGATATCTGTAGGTTGTGCCTGCGTTGGCAATTTAGCTGCATTTGTTGTCTTCATACTTGTGTATTTATATTGTTCTGAACTATTTCCCACCGTCGTACGAAATGCTGCCTTAGGGTTTTCTTCAATGACGGCTCGAATTGGGTCTATGATAGCCCCATTCGTGGTAGGGTTGAGAGACACAGCAGTTTTTCTACCACCTGTTATCTTTGCTATACCGCCAACACTGGCTTGCATAATAACCATGTTTTTACCCGAAACCAAGGGTTGTCCATTAATGACCACACTACAAGAAGGTGAAGAATTTGGTAAGAAAAAGGTTACTAAACAACCGAATGCTTGAAGTTCAACGAACGTTTTTTTTAATTATTAAGCAAATCTAGAGACGCCTGTTCTTTATCTTTTTTGTTTAAATATACATAAATTTATTATGACTTACATATTCTACTATTAAAAGAAATTATAAACGCAACCTTTATTTTGTTTGATTTTTTAAATTGTCCCACAAAGTCGGTTTCAGTGGTAATCAAATTGCACTAAGTCTACTAGTACTTACCGCCAAGCAGTAATTCTGACGACGGCTGGGGAAGCGCAAGTGGTCGGTCGGATCCGGCGGTTGGGCCCGGAGGTCGCTTTGCACAAATCCGAGGCTGTTTGCTTCCATGGGTCTCGGAAGGCCCCACCTCCACCCCACCACGATATGGGACCTCCAGGTCCCATATCGTGGTGGTTTCGTGATTACGTAGTGGTTTAAGCGGTCGCCACGCCGCTTACTACTACACCGAGTGTTGTGGGTTCAAACCCCACATGGGACGACACTTTATGTGATCCACAAATTGTTGTTCTGAGTCTGGGTGTTTTTTGTGTCCGTTTCATGTATGTTTGTAAAGTCCCCCGCGACACAGGCTATATTCCTAATAGGGGAGTTGGCTTAAAAAAAAAATAAGTACATACCACTCGACCTGTACAGCCGATGGGATTTAGGGCCACACTTTCGGCAGTTGGCCCCAAGGATTTTGAGTGCCTCCGGGGCACTCTCGCGGCTCTTGCCTAACTTGCCGGATCTGCACCCTGGGTACGCTGCAGTACTCCTTACTCTTGTAATACAGTACCGCAGGTGGCGCAGGGATGCTCTAGATCGACGTGAGCTACCAGTGCCTCGAGAAGTAGAGGCACACCGGGCTGAGCTCCACCAGATCTTGGTGGCAAAGTGGGACCAAGGGCTTGCGCGGCCCAGTGCAGGGCACGCCGTAATAGCGGCTGTAAGACCCGTCCTACGATAGTTGCGGGAGAGGAAATGCAAAGGACGCGGCAGGACTGGAGAGAGAAAGCAGCACCGCTGTCTCTACCCACAGAAGGAGCATTCGTCGATCTCCGGCCACCTTAGGAAGTGGCCTGCGGGCGACGATTGTGGGGAATTTATCGTGCGAACAGATGCAGGCCGAAGAGGTAGCGCACAGTGTTATGTGCGCGATTCTGGAGGACTGCTACCGAAGGGTGACGATCGCAACGGGTTACGAGACCCGTCTTGGGTGAGACGGGTCAATGCCTGTCGGGGGTGGCGGAAGAATGCAATTGCGAAGAATGGATTACATAGAAGACAAAATGCTTAGGATTGATGTGATGTGGACTAGTGTGTGTTTTATTATATATTTTTTTCTATGTTTTATTTATACTTCATTTTCTCTTTTATTCGATTTTTTTTCTTAACCTTGTTTTCTCTTCATTGTCGTTTTACCTTTTAGTCCTTAATAACGAACATACTGGCACACATCTAAACAACGATCGTCGATCGATTGATTTGATAATACATTTCTAAATTATCTCAGGAATTGATCTTTTTGGAGTTGCTTGAACTATTTTGGTTATACCTTTTATGTATTTAATCATAAGATCCCATTAGCCACAGGTTTTACCGCGCTCAAGCTTCTCTTTGGGTGTTTTTATGTATGCTTGTTGCTGCGGTGTTTGGTCAGGTCACAATATATATTTATATACCAGAGCTGCTATTTATAGAACTCTTTGGCTGAAGAATACAATTTGTTTCATGTAGCTGTCATTGGTTTATCCTTTGTGGCGTCATTTTGAAAATTGCCTGTCTTTATCACTAGGATTTAACTCGTGAAAATTTTCGTGCTATGATTTATTACGATGTTCGTCTAAGGCTAACAAAAACAGTGCATCTATCAACTCACTTCGGACTAAGAAGGTCGCCCTAAATCGGTTGTTGTACCTCAAAATATTTATGCTGTGCGGGAACTAATAATGCAAGATCGTCATGTTACATATCGCAAGATAGAGGCGTCTCTGGGAATAAGTATGATGAGTAAATATATAATATTACGAGAACATTTAGCTGTAAAAAAAATTGCTCACGTTGGATTCAATACAACTTAAGAATTGATTAAAAACGGGCTCGTGTCGATTGGTGTAAAAAAATATTACAAAAGCACAATCAGGGTGCGTCAAAAGCTGTCTTTAATATCTACGTAGGTGATGAATTTTGGATATATGCATATGATCCTGAAACTAAACAACAACGGTTTGGGTGTTCCAAGATGAACCGAACCCAACAAAAGTCATTCGTTAAAAAACCACTGAAGCAAATGGTCGCTTGTTTTTTTTTTTTGTATAAATGGACATGTGGCTACAGGGCCACTAGAGAATCGTAAAACAGTTAATTCTGAATGCTACACAACCATTTGTTTGCGAGAAGTCTTTGAAGAAATAAGAAAGAATAACGGACAACGCAGAATCCTTCTTCATCATGACAATGCTAGCTGCCAGACATCGGCCGAAACCACTCAGTATTTGGAAGATCGAATTAATGACTCGTCCACCGTACAGCCGTGACTTGGCCCTCAACGACTTCTATTTATTCCATACCGTGAAGTATAAATTATGTGGTCAACGTTTTCGAGCCGTAAAGAAGCTGTTGATGCGTGCAAAATGCACGTTTTGGAGATACTACAATCAGAATGGAAAAAGTGCTATGAAAATTGATTCCAAAGCTGGAAAAGCAATAAAACTATAATAAATGCTATATGTTTGTTTCACTCATACAGGGAATTCACCTAGTTTAAAAGGCAGTTCCACATCTCAAATACAAAAGAGCGTCTTTAAATGTCGTTCATAGGAAACTGATTCTAGTAAATACGTTTTTTGCAACTATCGTCTAAGTCAGTAAAACCCCAGGAAATGAAAGAAAAATATTTTAAGCTTATTTGATTATTTTAATTTCCTTTACTAGTTTAGTGTTACCAGTTTACAGCCATTTTTTTATTGCATGTAGTGGAAATACTGTCCAATAAAGTGTCGAAATATGGTAATCACTTAATAGTAATATCATCATAATCATCATCAACAGCCTTTAATAGTCTATTGCTGGACATAATAGTAATATGGTAATCAGATAATAGTAAAGGAGATCAGATAATAGAAAGTAGTTTGTGGTGCATTATTACGTATTTGAAAATCCTGTAGTAGAATGTAAGTAAGTAAAAAAAAATTGCAAGCTGAAAAAAAGCAAAGGTTTTTTGACAAATCTTGACAGACGTTTGCGCTCTGTGTTTACATATAAAGACGAAAGTCTGACTCGACAGGCGGTGAATGGCCGCCGCCGATTATATTAGTTTGGGTTTAGAATTTACAACTCATTACATGTTGAAATAGGTAATAAATTAAGGAAAAGAAAAACACGTATTGGATATTATATATACAGATGTACATAAGTATAAGATGATTAATTGGGCTGTTCCACTAGTCCCTACCAGCTGTCCCTCCTGGTGGGGACAATTGACTTTTTTCCACTCTTCTCTACCACACCGTCACTGGTTGGGATGAGTGGAATTTCATTTCCACTTATCCTTTTTTTTTTTAACATGTGGTTACTCCCTCGGGCCGTCACCTCACCGGGGTTTACGGCGGGGTGGTGTGTCGGAATCGGACCGACTAAAACCACACGGTGTGCCACTCTGCGCCTGTAATAGGAGGGATCCGGGAACTGCTGTTATTAGGACCTCCGGACCCCTCCTAGCGCCTGCCCGCAACGATGCGGGCACCACCTTCAGGTACATTATCTATTTAGGCGACGTCCGGCACACGCGGACGTCGCCTCCTCGCGGCTGGCCGTTATGGCAGGTGGAGGGGAAAACCCGTCCCGTCCAACCGCGGCCACACTCAGGGCGGCATGAGGCGGTGATAAGCGCGCCTCCGCCGCCCGGTTCGCCGGCGACGGATTGGGTCCGAGTAGAGGCTGTCCTCCCGGGCCCCCTCTGCCGCCTCCTTCTGCGAGATGACGTCTTCGCAGAAGGATGCGACCGCGGTAAAACATCTGTCGCTACCGGCCATGGAGCGTATGACGGCCGGTAGCGAGAGATCCCCCCCGATAACTGCAAAGAGGACCCGGCGCTGCGGCGCCCAAGCCGGGCTAAATGCCAGCGTGTGCTGAGCCGAGTCCTCACTGCAATCGCAGTGGTGACAGGCGGGACTCAATTCTCTCCTAGCGACCGAGTGCAGGTGCTTCCCGAAGCAGCCATGCCCGGAAAGGACCTGCGTCAGCCGGAAGGAAAGAGTTGAGCGCCTCCACGGCAGCAAAGCCAGCATGTGGAGCCTCCAGCCGGGACGACCAACGAGCCATCGTGGCTCGGCGAGCGGCCTCACGCCACTCGCTTATCTCTTCGGGCGGGGGCCGACTGCTACTATCCGCCCGGAAACCAGCCGTCTGCCGATATACTTCGGCGAGCACTTCCGTCTCCAAGTCCCACGGGGGAGTACCGGCCAACGCGCACGCCGCTTCCGCCGAAACGGTGCGGTAACCGCGTATGGCTCTAACCACCAATATCCTCTGAGGTCGCCAGAGGCATGCCCTTTTCTGAGCGGTCAGAGCTGCCGCCCACACCGGTGCACCATACAGTGCCATTGACCGGACAACCCCTGTGTACAGCCGTCTCGTTGCGACGCTGGGTCCACCTAGATTGGGTAAAAGTCGCCCAAGGGCAGACGCAGCGTCGACCAGCTTTGGAGCAAGCTGTCGGAAGTGCTCGTCGAAAAGCCACCTCCCGTCGAGGATCAGGCCCAGATATTTCATCTGGGCCCGAACCGGTACGAGGACCGAGTTGACCACGATTGCGGCGCCGGGGGGTGGACCACGCCGGGCCCATGGAATAAGAGGGCCTCCGTCTTATCCAGGGCCACCCGTAAGCCCAGCGCCTCAATTCGCGCGACCACCAGAGAGACTCCCCTGGTGGCCAAGCGCGCCGCCTCTTGAAAGTTCGCCCCCCGGGCTGTGACCAATGTATCATCGGCGTAACAAATTACACCCAGCCCAGGGGGAAACTCCAC